TCCCACACAACCAGGAGCACAGGAGGCAAACTTGAGAGGCCAATTGTTGTCAGGGTTTCTGCCTACAGGCAGGGTCCATACAGAGCCTGGAGCCAGTCTGAGACACTGAGGGGGAGAGAGGCTACAAACGGTTCTCCCAGTCCCATTCCTGCCCCAAATCCTTTCAAAACCTACATTTCCCCAGGATCTTCACTTGTCTCTGCTTCGTTGGGGAGTGGGCTTCTTTTGACAGAACCTTGATACTATGTCGAGGGAAATAAGTCAGTCACAAGAGGATAAATATGAAATATCTAGAATAGGCAATTGAATAGAGACCAGAGTTTATTAGTGGTTCCCAGAGATGGGAAGGAGACCTGGTAACACAATGGCTCAAGCACTTGACTGCTAACTGAAAGGTCAGAGATTTGAACCCATCCAAAGTCTACGTGGGAGCAAAGATCTGTTGGTTTGCTTCCATAAAAACTACAGTCTAGGAAACCCAACAGGGCAGTTCTACTCTTACAAATAGGGTCATTACGAGTTAGAATCAACTCCACAGCACACAGCACACAACACACAACCAGAGATGGGAGGGGAGCAAGAGAAAAGAAGGAGTCTTTGCTTAGGGTGATGGAAATGTGGAAATGATTATAGTGATGTTTGCATAACATGATGAACGTACTTAATGTCATGGAATTGTACATATAAAAAATGATGAGATGACAAATATACATATTGTTGTTAAGTGTCATAGAGTCGGTTCTGACTCATAGCGATCCTATAGAATATTTCTGAGGAGTGACTGTTGACTTTGAATGACTGTTGACTTTGAACAACCACCCTTGTAGTTAGCATTCTGGTGTTTATCTTACAGCACCACACCGCGGAGCAGCTGGTAGTTTCGAACCGCTGACCTTAAGGTTCGCAGCCCGATTCGTAACCTATATATATATACATATATGTTGTTGTGAAGTGCCATTGAGTTAATTCCGAACCATAGTGACCCTGTATAGCAGCTGGTGAGCTTGAACTGCCGACCTTGCGGTTCAAACAGCTTTTCAGTCTGGTGCATTAACCCACCATGCCACACCAGGACTGACTCTCTCTCTCTCTCTCTCTCTCTCTCTCTATATATATATATATATATATATACAGACATATACAATTATGTGCAAATATATATACAGCAGTCCTGGTGTACTGCTGTGGGTTAATGCACTGGACTGCAAGAGCCTTTGAACTGCAGTATCAGTGGTTCAAGCTTACAAGCCGCTCCTCAGAAACCCCATATAGGTTCTCTATGGGTCAGAACCAACTCAGCGGCACATAACAACAACAACATACATATATGTGTCACAGTCCTGTGCTTATCCTACAGCACCACACCAGGAGGGTATATATATATATATAAAGAGTCCTGGTGTGGCACTGTGAGCTAATGTGTCAGACTGCAAAGTTGTTTGAACTGCAAGGTTGGTGGTTCAAGCTCACCAGCTGCTCCTTAGAAACCCTATGTAGGATTGCTATGGGTTGGAATCGACTTGATGGCACTTAATAACAACAACATAAATATACATATGGAGTCCTGTTTTAGCATTGTGGGTTAATGCGTCAGACTACAAAGCTGTGTGAACTGAAAGGTCAGTGGTTCAAGCTCACCAGCTGCTCCTCGGAAATTACTCGACGGCACGTCACAATAATACACACACACACACACACACACATATATATATGGAGCTTTGGTAGTGTATATATACAAGAGATCTGGTAGGGTAGTGGTTACAAGTTGGGCTGCTAACCTCAAGGTCAGCGGTTTGAAACTACCAGCGGTTCCGTGGAAGAAAGACGAGGCTTTCTGCTCCTGTAAAGATTTACAGCCTCAGAAACTCTGTGCAGGGTTACACTATAAGTTGGAACCGACTCCACGGCACACCACCACTATATATACACATATATAGTCCTGGTGTGGACTGGGCTGCCATGGGCTGCCAAAAGAACCAATAGATCTGTTTTGGAAGAAGTGCAGCCAGAGTGCTCATTGGAGGCCAAGATGGCCAAACTTCATCTCTCGTACTTAGGACATATTTTCAGGAGGGAGCAGTCGCTGGAGAAGGATATCATGTTTGGTAAGGTGGAGGGTCAGATAAAAAGACGAAGACCCCCAGCGAGATGGATTGTCAAAGTGGCAGCATCTATGGGCTCAAACGTGGCAACAGTAGTGAGGTTGACCCAGGGTCGGTACCAACTCAATGACACCTAACAACAACAGACCTGGTGTGGCGCTGTGGGTTAATGCACTGAACTGCAAGGTCAGTTTGAACCACAAGGTCAGTGGTTCAAGCTCACCAGCTGCTCCTCAGAAACCTTGTACAGAATTGCTATGAGTCAGAACAGACTCCATGGCACTTAACATTTCTCTCTTTCTTTCTCTGTCTCTCTCTCTATACACACACATATAGACACATATAGGCACATATAGACACATATAGACACACACTCATATACGTAGACATCTCTGCTGTTACTAAGTGCTTTCAAGTCATTAACAACCCTCTATAGAGTTTCCGAGAAGCAGCTGATGAGTTTGAACTGCTGACCTTGAAATCTTGAGGCCCAGTGCTTATCCTACAGTGCCACACCAGGACTCTCTGTCTCTGTCTCTGTCTCTATTTATCTCTGTCTCTATCTCTTTATATTTATCTATATCTATATCTAGATATAGATAAATATATATCTAGATATAGATATATATTCATGTCAATTCTGACTTGTGCTGACCCCATGTGTCACACAGTAAAACTGCTTCATAAGACTTTCTTGGCTGTAACCTTTACATGGAACCCTGGTGTGGCACTGTAGGATAAGAACTGGATTGCTAACCATAAGTTTGGCAGTTCAACTCTACCAGCCACTCCTTGGAAACCCTATACTGGATCACTATGCGTTGGAACTGACTTGATGGTTCTTAACAACAACAATATTTACAGAAGCAGATTGCCAGGCCTTTGTTTCATGGCACCACTGGGTAGTCTGGAAGCACCTATATTTAGGTTAGTAGTCGAGTACAAAGCATTTATTCCACGCAGGAACTAATACTTATTATATATTTTAATTATAGATTTAATGTAGGAGCACTGGTGACGCAGTAGAGAAGCACCCAGCTGCTAACTGGAAAGTCAGCCGTTCGAATCCACCAGCTGCTCCGAGATAGAAAGATGTGGCCGTCTCTTCCATGAAGATTGTAAAGCCTGTGAAGTCCTATGGAGCAGTTCTACTCTGTCCTACAGCATCCTCATAAGTTGGCATCCACTCAGTAGTCATGGGTTTGGTTTGGTGTTTAATAGACCATAATTTTCAAAACTCAATTGACCAAAAAAGAGAAAGAAAAATCGGGGCCTGCTGGAAAGATTAAGAGTCAATCTCAGAGAATCCAAGTGAGCCTCAGTGAGAAAGGGGAGCTGAGGAAAGCTAGCCATCTTCTCTAACCCCTGAACCAGCCTGCCCTTGTTTTTGTTGCATCTCTGCAGAGGCAGTCAGCCCCATGGGTGATTTTCTGGTGCTCAGCAGTGAGGTGAGCACCTGGGGGCTCTCTGGGGGCAGGAAGAATGATGTCGCTAAGGACTTACAGCAGGTTTCCACACACTTCACAGACTCTGGCTTCCCTCATTGCCACACCCCACAGTGCAACCTCCTGGCCCCAGCTCTGACCCTAGCCCTGCCCTGCTAACTTGGTCCTATGGCCTTGCTTTGATCATCACTAGTGTGCATGGAAGCCCTAACTTGTCCTGTGGTCAAGTTAAAGCAATCTCACAGCCTTATGCAAATTTGGGCTTATGCAGTTGACTGTCAGCTCCAAATTCCTGGGCCAGGGAGCTCCTCTCTCCTGGCTGTCTTATTCAAATGCAAAGAAGGGCCCAAATTAGACCCCAACCATTTTGTTTCTATTGATTTATTAGCCAGTGATTGAAACACATCTGGACTCATACAGAATACATAAGTAACTGATACACATCTGAAGAAAACCAACCCACTCTCCACTCCCACTCTTGTTGCACCCAGAGAGATTCACATGCTCAAAGCTATGAGCTGGCCCAGTGGATGAGGCTCGGTAGACTCCCTCTTTTGTGGCAGGACATGGAGATGGTGACCAGAGATCAATAGAAGGTATAGATCAATTCTAGACCTGCAGAGACAGGTCCCAGGGACAGTGAAGCACCCTTCTCCAGAAGGCAGGACCATCAAGTTATGGCGATGCATGATGAAGGACAGTTTTAATCCTTGGGCCCATAGTCTTCTCAATCTCTAGGAATTTCCCATATACTTTCATCTCCAAGAAATTCCAGGAGATTTTGAAACAAAGCCAGATTTTTGAATGTCAGATGTTGCGGTATCTGTCATTCCTTGGACATGCATCTGAGAAGCATTATGTGGAAGCTGGTGCTGGTCATGATATGGATTTCAACAGCTGGCCAGCAAGTTGGGAGTCGAGTCAAAAGGATGGTCTCACTTTGATTGAAATGGACCCCCATTTCAGCTGAGGCTTTGGGCAGAATATCTCCTGTTCTGTGTGGAGTGATAGAGCTTTAGGGTTCTTCCCCTGTAGAGCCAGGGGAAAGAAGAAACCTGGGTTCATCCTCCATTAGGACGCATAGGCCAAAATAACAGATGAAAGGCATGCATGTTTCTGGACTGCAAAGTGAATGTTCCCAAAAATGGAGAATTTGGAAGTGGGGAAAGGGAAACTTGGAGAAGTCCCCATAGGTTGTGTTAATCCACATAAGAAGCCACAGAAAAGAGGTCCTTCTTGAGAGGCCAAGAGAAATCAAGTCTGAGAACCAAATGGCTTGCAGGTGAGGCATGGAAAGTTGTAAGGAAAAGACATCTGAGAAGGATGGGTCACCTTCAGCATTCCATCTGGAACCTCGAGGTCTCTTGATGCTTTTGTTCAGAGGCCTGTCTTAATCTCCATCAGCTGGACCAATGCCCTACCCCAGGGGAAAAGGGTGTCGGGAGGGCCAAGCTCAGAGCACCATATTCCACCACTTGAAGGGGAAGGGTTTCCGGCGCACGTTGGTGCCACAGTGCACCTCCCCATGCAGCATGTGGTATGGGGTAAAATCGTCGATGAAAGTGCAGTGCAGGCCCAGAGGTTCCAGCAGGGACCGCACCTTCTCCTCCAGGCAGCAGCGGCCGTTGATGATGGGTCCGAAGGGCTTGGGGATGCCTAGGTATTTCCCCAGCACCAGCATGTTCACCTGCAATCCAGGGTGGGTGGGGAAGCAGTATTCTATCATCAGGCTCCCACCTTCAACAACCAGACCCCTACCTGGCAGGACCTGGCCCTCTAACCTGTCTTGGGCACCTTGATAATAGCTACTTGCCCTTTCATGTGGGGTGTGAAGGGAACTTGAGCTAGTAAGATTTCTAGCCACTGTGGATATCATTGGTAGCATCTGCAGAGCTCAATGACACTTCTTCCTCTGATGACTGCTCTCCTTGTTGGTGCTACAGAAGCCAAGCTTCTTGGCTAGAGCTGATTGGACCAAGAAACTCATCTAACCCATGCTGGACCTATCAGATTCTCTCTCCTAGGTATTTGTAGTTGTCATTGTGGGAGAGTCTAGTCTCTGCCTGTGTCTGCATCTATATCCAGGATGGGTAGTCATGTGCCTAGACTTCTCCAGTGATAGAGAAGCAATGGAAACCAAGCTGGAGAGAGAGAGAGACAGACAACCCTGCCCTGAGGTTTTACAGCATCTTTATATCCTTGTATTGTGTCTCCCTTTCTAGCTAAGCAAGCTTGAGTGACCTCTCTGTTCCTTGCAAACACAAGAGCCTGAACAATTGCACAGCTTCTAGGGAAACAGACATAATTGCAGGGCTGCCTTAAACATGAAGGCTGCAAGAGAAGTAATGAGAGGCTTTGTAGCAATTAGGGAAATCAAGGGGAAGGAGGCAAAAGCTAGCCAGAAAGGGGAAGGAAATGTGTGGGAATGAAGCAATAGGGATGTGGACAGGCTCCCCCAAAGGCTTGGAAGATGAGCCACTTGCATTCCTGAGAGGATAAAGCAGGAGCCAGGAGTCTGGTGATCTAGAGCAACTCCCAGTGTGGTCCTCAGATGGGCTTCAGCATCGCTTGGATGCTTGTTAGAAAGGCAGCGGCTTCTCAGGCCCCACCCCAGACCTGCTGATCCAGAACCCTGGGTGGGGTCCCAGCCACACAGGTGTTTCAGATACCTGCCAAAAGTTTGGAAGTATTAGAGGCAAAGCCCACAAGTCTCACTCAATTAAAGGACACCTCCTCTATGAAGCCTTCTGGGGTCTCTAGTCCCATCTCTCAAATCAGAAATACTTTTGTCCTGCCTCTGAAGTTTCATATCACTTTATTACAGTGTCAGATTTCCTAACAAGCAAGTTAAGCATGGGTTTACTTGTGCTTACTCTAGTGAACGATTTCACATTTTTTCACCACATCAAAAGATTCTACTTCTGGTCTGGCTGACATCTGCCTGTCTCCCAAACCCACAGCACCTCCCTACGGAATCAAAACCTCTTTCAAATTTACAATCCCCGACAGGGATGCAGGATTCCTTGTGCTTACATATTAGTCTATAGCAAACAGTGTCTTTCACATGTTTTTCACCACATGTAAGTTGTTCACTACAGATTAGTGAGTAAGCAGAAGTAAGCCTGTGCTTACCTTACTCATTAAAACCCCTGTTTTTACCTTCCTAGATCATTGAGACAGGCCCCCATTGAGCTGATTAGACTATACACCCCTTGAGAGCAGGGACAAGCCTTAATCATCTCCGTACCCCACAGGGTACCCTTGATAAGTGTGGAACAGCTGTGATTCCAGAGAAAGTGGGTAGCAGTGTTTCACACACATACCCCATGCAATCATTCATTCACTCCCCAGCTATTGCGTGGGTCCCTGGGAGGAAGGAGGGGTCCTTCTCTGATGTCCACTGACTGAGATCATGGTCAATGAGCATTCTGCAGTGACCATAATAGAACCTCTGGTTCTTCCCACCACCCGCTCTTCTCCCACAATTCCAGACACGCCTGAGACCACCCCTGTGGGTGGCCCACGACATTAAGGCCTGGTGGGCACCTCTCACGCTTCCACCTCACCAGGTCTGGGAAGAAGGCTGCCGCCTTTTTCGAGTCTGTCTTGAACAGCTGAGGAATATCAATGATGTCACCGTCAGTTAGGCCCAGTTCTCGCTTTAGCACCTCTCGGTTCCAGTCAATGCAGCTCTGAGGGTGGGGTGGGGAGAGGCAGAGTTGGGGAACACAAGGTGTGTTGAGGGGACCCCAGAAATCAAGTCTGGTTGAGAAGAGGGGGCTGTCCAACAGCCCGTTCAAACAAACCATATCTTGATGTTTTTCAGTAAAATCTGTCTGTTCTGTGCCTAGTCCTCGCAGTCCTATCCTTCCAGTTTGGCTAAAAATGAGAGTGGTCCAGAGTTCCATCTAACAACTCTGCATTCTGCTCTAGATTCCTCACTCCTTGGTGGTAGTGGTGGTAAGTGCTATTGAGTCGGTTCTGGCCCATAGCAACCCTGTATCAGGTTTCTGAGGAACTGCTGGTGGGTTTGAACCATCGATCTTGCAGTTAGCAGTCCAGTGCTTAACCTACAGCATTACACCAGAAGTCCTTAAGGGATCTCATTCAGTGGAATGGCTTAAAGAATCTTCTATTCACTGATCACTCTCACTAAGTTCTTTCTCTGGCCCAGCCTCCTTCCTGAGTTCAGACTTACAGCCGACTTTGCATCTTTACTTGGATGTCTAATAAGCATATCAATTGTAACATGTCCAAAGGCAAATCCTTTATAAATCCTTTTAAACTCTTCTCCAGTTACCCAGCTTGAGGTGCCACCTGATGCCTGCTGGAACCTACTGCCACCTCCCCACCTCTCCCCCAGTGATATATTCTCAACACAGCAAACAGAGAGCAAGTTTTCAGTCCTAACTAAAAGCAGGTCCCTCCTCCAATGGCCTGGCATCTCACCCAGAGTCACAGTCACCCAGGCCTCCCCTCACTCCACTTCAGCCTCCTGGCTTGTCCCTGTGTTCCAGTCCAAGCCTCAGGGCCATTGCCTATGCTGTTCCCTCTGCCTGGAATGCTTGTCCTCCTCATGTATATGAGACTTCCTGAGCAATTTCCAGCATGAGTTTCCATGAAGCTGTGAGTCTTGGACTTCCATCCCCTGCCCCGTACCAGTCACACCCACCCTGTATCCCTAAATCACCGAACTTGTACCTGCACAAATTTATTGTAGCTAATGAGTTTTCCATTGGAGAGGACCTGGTTGATCGAGATGGGTGTGATCTTCCCATGACCTGTGAAGGGGAGAGAGGCATGAGGGAGGGACAGTAGCAAAGCCAACAGTAAAGATTACCTGCTATGGCAGGCAGGTCATGGTCAAGGTGACAGCTCTGTGACTTGTCTGGGTGTGGGCGGAGCACTGACCGATAAAGCATGGCTTGGTCATGGTGCAAATCTGGGGTGTGAAGAGTGTGAGAGTCAGGCTGCCACAGCGCTATAGACTTTAGACTTCTATTTGAGTTCACAGGACGTGATGTTACCTTTCACTGGAAATTTACAAGTACCCCAGGGCATTGGGTGAAGATTGCTGGTCCTCTGGTTAGTGGGGGAACTGGATCTGTTCCTGCCTGTCCACCAGTGCTTGTCCTGGGGACCCAGTAAAGGAGTGAGACACCATTGGGCCCTGTCCCTGCAGAAGGTGAATGCATGACAAAGAGGCTCCCCAGAAACCCAGCTTTCTTGGCCTCTTGATGGGGTGCCCGTGGAGACAGGGCTGGACAAGGAAGGGGAGGTTAGAGCCAACTGCCAGTACTGTTCATGAACCAGTCACTGTGCATAGGCCCTGAACTAGGAGCCCTCAGAATCTCCTTTAACGCTCCCTGTGACCTCTCCAGGGCCACCCCATCATCCCTGTTCCCCAGTGGAGGAGGAAGCGAACTCTCGCCTCCCATGAAGGAGACTCGGGGGCTATTCCCAGCCGGTGCCCCCGTCTGTCAGAGCAGCTTGCGTGTTGTTATGAAGCTGAACAGGTTTCACAGGAACTTCTGGAGTAAGATGGGCTGAGAAAGATCTGGTGATCTACCTTAGAAAACTGGCCACTGAAAGCCCTGTGGACCACAACGGCCGGACCCACAGCCCATTATGAGATGGTGCAGGACTGGGTAGTGTTTTGTTCTGTTGTGCACAGACTCACGGAGGACACTGAGGATCCGAGAAAGAGAGAGAGAGAGAGAGAGAGAGAGAGAGAGAGAAGTACTTGTCTAAGGTCATGATTCAAAGTCAAGCTCCGGGCTCATCAAAGTGCCCGAGTCAAGACCAAGAGAAAAAAGTGTGCTTCCCCAGCACCCCCACACATCTGGGGGCTCCACATCCCCTCCATCCCACTTGGAGTCACAATTGGGGTTGAGTTCACAGCTTGATCACATTCTAGCTGAGAGCTTTGGGTCAGTGAGTAACCTTCTCTGAGCCTTGAATTCTTGGGGAGAATGAAGGGGGTGTGACCGAATGGCTTCCTCACAAGTTCTTGTGATGAGCACCTGAGATGATGTATAGGAAGCACAGAGCACGGGTCTGGCACTCAGTAGGTGCCTATTCAGGTCCACTGGCTCCGTGGCTGAAAGACGCTTTGGTCACAGCCCTGATGGTGTGATAAGGTATTGCATCTTCTATACCCGATGTGCTAGGTCCCTGGGTCAGAGGTTGGCAAGAGATTCAATCCAGCACATTGCCCACAAAAAACACCCAGGCACAGCCAGGGACAATTGCTGCCTCACCCCATTCTGTGATGCTACTGAGGGACTGTGTGCCCAACCCCTTCCCTCCCTGTGCCAGGCTTCTGCTGGGGGTGATGGGGGTGAGGAATGGGCATCCCAGGGAGGTCTGGAGGTGGCAGAGGTGGGCTTCTTTAGGAGCCAACTCTAACTCTCCAATAAACACTTTACTGATCTATCCAACTTCACTTACATATCACAAAACCCAAATTGTTAAGAATTTCATAAAACACTTAGCCCCGAGCTGAGTGTTTTATGAAATTCTTTCTGAGTGTCCCCTGGGTGAGCTGTACTTGTCATGAGCCTGTGGAGCCTGCCATGTCCCCATGATGCCCACCCCAAGCCTACCGCTCACCCCTGTGTTTCCTACTTCAGATATGCAGGGCAGCTGGGGATCATGGGGCCAGGAAAGAGGGCAGAAGTAAGGCATGTAATGGCAGGAGGGAGGTATCCCATATTTGGTACAGCAGCCTGGCTTTAACGTTTGCCAACCCTTTTCAAATGACAACTTGTCTTACATCAGGTAAGGGGTGAGGAAGCTGGGAGCTGTTACCCACCAATAACCCCTTCGAATAGGAGCGCCTTTCCATGGCCCCACTTCTGCTTTTCCTGGAAGAGTCTGAAACAGGCGTCGGGGCTGGCCAGCAGCAACCGGAAGCCCTGTGTGGAAAGAGCAGAGTCAGCTGAGCCCCCTGATTCACATGGCCCTCTGGGGCTCAGTCCGGGCCGGAAAAAACCATGTTGGGCTGGGCAGGTCACCCATGTCCTCACCTTCCCATCAGGGGCAGGGACGAAGCTCAGAAACTCATCCACGTGGCCCACGGATAACCAGTCCACAAAGAGCTCCACAGGTGGCTGCACCCTCTGGGCATGGAGAAAGTCCCGTACCACCTGGGTGACCCTGCGGCCGATCGACCTGGATCCGTGAAAGTTTTTTTTAAAAAGTCACGTAACTAAAAAAAAAAATCTATGCAGAAAGTGAATGACCAGTATTCAAGATATTCATCATATCTGATTTTTAGAAAACTTTAAATATGCATTGGAAATCAATGAATGAATGAAATGACATATACACTCGTAAGTTACAGTCTTGAAAACTCAATGGAGCGCAGACCTGCTCTGCACTCATCGGATCACCACAAATCAGAATGGACTCAATGGCACCTAAGAGCAGCAACATATATGTATACATACAATTCACCCCAAGGAGTTATCTGGGAGGTGGACGCATGGCAGGGTAATGACCCCCAGAGTCCCACCAGACTGGTGAATCTTCAGAACTGTCCTCTACTCCCACATTCAATTCCCTGGGCCTGGGAAGTTCTCCCTTGAGTTTAACTTACATCCCTCTTGCTGCAGCCTCACCTTTGGGCATCAGTGCGGAGAGAAGTGTACAAGATCACCCTAGAAGTACTTTCTAGCCTCTTCATTTTGTCCATGAATTTAAACTGCTTTCCTCAATTACATGGCCCACATTTCCTCTTTCTATGGGATCACATGTTTCTATGGGATTACATATGTCTAAAGGATCACATAGTTGAGGTCAGTTAATCCCATCCCACCCTCATTTCCAAAGCTTGATTCTTGATCCTGGTTGACTTTGGTTGGCTCATTTCTCGGTCTATTCCACAGAAAATAACATTATGACATAATTAATTCCCTTTCTTTTCCACCAGTGCCCGTGTGTCTCATGTTGAATAATACACCACTTATTACTCTCCCCGTGTGTGACTGCCATTGGACTTTTTATGCCTTATACCTCTTTTCCCTGCTCTTAGGATATGATCAGATATTAGTCATTTACCTTGCAGTAAGAATAAGCTTTGACGTACATGGAATTTCTCCCAGGGCTGCTGAGACTTGCAGCTGTGATTTTTAATTGGTGGGATCTGTTATGAGGACCAGCTATTTATTTTCAGAACTAGGAAGGAGCCCTAAGACTGGTCCTACCCTTCCTTCCTTTCCCCTGCTTACTCTTCCTTCTGGATCTATTTGTAAAATGAAGAGGTTGGACCTGTGATGTCATTATGGTGGTGCTACCTAGTTTGATAATTCACAGTGTCACCTCCAATTCCATGGGTGAGGCTGGCCATCAAACCCCACCCTGACTGGCAGGGGAGGGGGGAGTTATACATCATACTAACACTCCCCTGAGCGTGGGCCTACTGGAGACCCTGAGGTCAGTTTAGTGTCTTGTCTCTTAGGTCTCTGTCATTTGAGCTTCCTCAAACTCCCCAGGACAAGTGTACACAGTGCTTGGTGACAGCCCACACCTCCAGCACCCAGTGGGGTACAATGGTCCCTCACCAACTCCACCACCACCCTCACCCTCAGCCTTCACCCCCCCGGGCATTTCTCCCATTCCTCTCTCACCCAGGCAGGTTGCCCCCAATGAGGATCCTCCCCAAAGGGTATTCTTTTCCATTTGCCACCACTGGGGGGCTGACTTCCAGGTTCCCAAAAGAGTCCAGACCACTCACAGACTTGTCTCGTGGTTCCCGAGTCACATAGCCGAAATCTGGACCCTGGTGGGGGAAACTGAATCAGATGTTGAGGTATTTTTTTGGAACCAAGACGAGCATGAACCATCTTGCTGTTTAAACACAGGGCAGAGACAACCTACCCATTCTACAGGTGGTGGCACTGAGTCAAAGGCAGGGGTGTAGCCTAATGGGCATTTCCTGCCTGCACAGCAGGTTGGGAAGTGTTCAGGCCCTGCTGCCTTAGACAGGTTGTGTTATTCTCCAAGGAGACAGCAGGAGGTCTCCGCTTACTCAGAGCCCAAGGTCATGGCCACACCAGCCTCAGGCCCTTAACCTCTGTACCACCTTCTTGCCAAGTCCAGCCCAAGGGCAGGTATCTGTCTGCAACAGAGCAGACTCAGTCTCAGTCTTTCTCCTCCAGAAAAGGGGAGAATTCACCAGGGCCATCTCCTCATATGAACTTCGTCAGCATCGAGGTCCAGGTAAGAGCTCCTAACACCTATATGGTCCAGCGTGGGGTTGAAAGGACCTCCATCCACTTTCTTCATGAACCAACTTGCTGTTTAAAGATAGGGCAGGGGGCCTGGCCAGCAACACCATCTTCACTGTTTTCATTATTATCATTGATAATAATAATATTGGCTCCCCCTGTGATAGTGTTTTCTGTGGTATTATTAAAGCTGTACCCACATCCTGAAGCTAAAGATATCATTTTTAGTGGTGAGGAATCTGAGGTTAAGAGTGGGGGAAGCAACTCGTGCAAGGCCACACAACACATGCTTGTCCCAACCTCAAAGCCTGTGTTCTTAACAACTGCATTGTCCTGCCTCCCCATCTAGAGCTGCCAGATTGAGCAGATAGAAATATAGGGCAACTAGTTAATTCTGAATTTCAGCTAACCAATAAAATTTTATTACTAAAAGATTTCCCAGGCAATATTTGACTGATTGGCAGTTGGGAAATATGGTCTTGGTGATAGAAAAAACACCGGAGATTGCATGATAGAATTTTGCAAGACCAAGGACTTATTCTTTGCAAATATCTTTTTTTCAACAACAGAAATGACAACTGTACACGTGGACCTCCCCAGATGGAATAAAAAGAAATCAAACTGACTGTATCTGTGGAAAGAGATGATAAAGAAGCCCAATTTGTTGTTGTTAAGTACCGTGGAGTCGGTTCCAACTCATAGCGACCCTGCATAGGGTTTCCGAGGCTGTAAATCTTTACGGGAGCAGAACACCTTATCTTTCTCCTGAGGAACCACTGGTAGTTTCCAACTGCTGACCTTGAGGTTAGCAGCCCAACTCGTAACCACATGCTACCAGAGCTCCTTAAAGAAGCCCAATATCATCAGTTAAAACAAGGTCAGGGACTGACTGAGGAATAGATCATCAATTGTTCTCATGCAAGTTAAAGTTGAAGCTCAAGAAAATGAAAATAAATCCACAAGAGTCAAAATAAGACCTTGAGTGTATCTCTGACTTTAGAGACTGTCTCAAGAACAGATTTAATACACTGGACAGTAATGGTCAATGACACCAGGGCAACTTACATGAAGAAACCAGAAAGTCATTAAAAAGACAGGAAAGAAAGAAAATACCAAAGTGAATATCAGAAGGAACTCTAAAACTTGCTCTTAAGCACAGAGTAACCAAAGCAAATGGAAGAAGTGATGACGTGAAAAAGCTGAACAGATTTCAAAGGACAGGTTAAGAGAAAGTAAATTATTGTAATGAAATTTGCAAAGACCTGGAGCTAGAACACCAAAAGGGAAAACACGCTCAGTTGTTTCTCAAGCTGAAAGAACTGAAGAAGAGGAAAAAGAAAGTTAAGCCATGAGTTGGAATATTGAAGGAGTCCTGGTGTAGTGGTGTAGGATAAGCACTGGACTACAAGGTCGTTTTGAAGTGCAAGGCCAGTGGCTCAAAGTCCCCAGCTGCTCTTGGAAACTCTATACAGGGTCACTATGAATCAGAGCTGACTTGACAGCAATGTAGGAGAAATATTAAACGATGCAGGAAGCATCAAGAGAAGATGAAAGGAATATATATAGTCACTGTACCAAATGCACTGGCTGATGTTCAACCATTTCAGAAAGTAGCATCTGATCAAGAACCCATAGTATTGAAGGAAGAAACCCAAGCTGTTCTAAAAGCATTAGTGAGAAAAAAGCTCCAGGAATTGATGAAATACAAATGGAAATGCTTCAACAAGCAATGTATCACTGGAAGCACTCACTCGTCTATGCCAAGAAATTTGGAAGACAGCTACCTGACCAACTAACTACAAGAGATCTGTATGTGTGCCTATTCCAAAAACAGGTGACTTCACAGAATGCGGAAATTATTGAACAATATTTATTAATAGCAAAAGCTAGTAAAGGGAACACTAACTTGTCCCCATGTGGAACTTGTACATAGGCAGTTGTCCAAGTAGAACATGAGGATATTGCCTGGTTTACAATTAGGCAACGTGTACTCCGGGGTTGTGTCCTTTCACCATACTTATTCAGTCTGCATGCTGAGCACATGATCCCAGAAGTGTGAGGATTTCTCATTAACAATCTGTGATATGCAGTTGAGACACGCTTGTTTGCTGAAAGTGAGGCAGACTTGAAGTAGTTACTTTTGAAAATCAACAACTACAGCCTTCAGTATGGATCCCACTTCATCATGGAAATAAAAAAAGGCAGAATCCTCACAACTGGACCAGTAAACAACATAATGAGACACAGAAAATACTGAAGTTGTCAAGCATTTCATTTTACTTGGATCCACAATCAATGCTCATGGAAACCACCGTGGAGAAATCAAACGGCGTGTAGCACTGGGCAAACCTGTGGCAACAGATCTCTTTAAAATGTCCAAAAGCAAAGATGTCACTTAGAAGACTAAGGTGTGTCTGACTCAAGCCATGATGTTTTCAATCACCTCATAAGTACATGCATAAGCTGAACAATGAATAAGGAAGATAGAAAAAGAATTGATGTCTTTGGATTATGGAATTGGCTGTGGATGAATGTCTGTGGACCATCAGAAGAATGAACAAATCTATGTTGGAAGAAATACAACCAGAGTGCTTCTTAGAAATGAAGATGGTGAAACTTCATCTCACATATTTTGGACATGTTATCAGGAGGTGCGAGTCCCTGGAGAAGGACATCATGCTTGGCTAAGTATTAAGAGGGTCAGCAAAAAAGAGGAAGACCCTCAATGAGATGAATTGACACAGTGGCTGCAACAATGGACTCAAGCATGACAACAATCGTGGGCATGGCACAGGACTGGGCAGTGTTTTGTTCCATTATACATAGGGTTGCTATGAGTAGGAATGGACACCCCAGCACCTAACAACACAGCTTACACAAAAAGTTATTTGTAGCTTATCTGAAATTCAAATTTAACTGATGTCCCTTAGGCAAACCTACCCACATCCCCAAAGAAAGAGGTTCCGTGTGTGCCCTCAGGGTAATGTTTCCTTGGCCCTCATGGCTGGGCAGTGACCAGGACCACTCACCAAGATTCGTTTGTAAGGGAAGTCCTGCAGTTCCCCATTCCTCGGGGAGTCAAAGACCACTGGAAAGGTCTTGTGTGGTGCCTGAATGTAGCCCAGCTCCATCTCGTCCTGTGAATGGGGAGAGATGCCACCTGTAGTCAGTGAACAGCTTTGCCCACTGGTTCACACTAGGCACTTTGGGGAAGACCTGTCTCCATGAGTTCTGTCTCAGGCCTGGGTCAGCAGATTCATGATGTCTGCTGGACAGAGCAAGAGTTGGAGACCCAAACAGGGTCATCCGGTAAAACAGAGACAGGAAGTGGAAGAGAACATAGGAGCTTTTGGAGATGTTTCTGTGCTTGCCTGGGCAGGGCAGTCACAGAAAGCTACTCACTGACCTGACTTGGTCAAGCAGGTCAGTTGGCCATCAACTGATACCTCTGGCCTCCATAAAAGTTCCCGAGGGTTTGGTGGCTAGATGGGCCAAGGGAACCTGAAGGGGTGCAATCTGCCTCCTTCTCAGACCCACAGACTCACCCAAATCAATCCTGGCCTCTCTCGGTGTACAGGTGGAGATGGCCCAGTCTGGCTGAAGTACCATCCAACAAGAAGTTCACTCACTGTGTGCCTGGTCCAGCCTGAAGCGCCATTTTGTTTTTGTTTTTTGGAGTATGTTTAGAACTAATTTTTCTTAATTATTTTTGTTCAGAACACGCACCAATTTAAGTGTCTACATGTGCAATTCTGTGATGCTGATTACATTCTCCGAGTCATGTAATCATTCTTAGCCTCCTTTTCTGAATTGTTTCCACAATTTACATAATTTCATTGCCTCCTAAGGTTCCCATTAATCTTTCAGCCTGCTGTTAGCAGTATGATTCCATGTGGTGTTGTTGTGTTGTTAAGCACCACTGAGTTGGTATCAGGTTTCTGAGGAGTGTTTGTTGGGTTTGAACTGTAGACTTTGAGGTTAGAAATTCAGAGCTTATCTTACAGCACCACACCAGACTCCATACAGATAGTTGATCCTATATAAATAGTTCTTAAAAGGATACCATGTTTGGTAAGGTGGAGGGTCAGAGGAAAAGAGTAAGACCCCCAATGAGATGGACTGGCCAAGTGGCAGCATCAATGGGCTCAAGCGTGGCAACTATAGTGAGTTGGCCCAGGATTGGGCAGTGTTTCATTTCTGCTGTGCATAAGGTCACTATGGGTCGGTACCGACTCGATGGCACCTAATAACAACAACAACAAAAACGCACAATGCTCAAAGCAGACATTCTCTACTAAAGCTAAAGTATTGTTTGGTTTTCAGGAGATTTCAGGGGATGTTTTGGGTCTAAGATCTAAAGATGATCAAAAAACCATGTGGCCCTAAGTTCTTAATAAATGTCAACTCCCTTAATCACATGACTTCCTTATTCAGGAGGCACTGTTGTTGTTGTTAAGTGCCGTCAAGTTGATTCCGACTCATAGTGACCCTGTAAACAGGGGTGGGGAAGTTTTTTTGCTGCCAAAATTTATAGCATCATTCACAGAACATACAAAATTATCAACTTAAAAATTAGTCTGTTTATTTGATCAAGCATTTAATGAACTCACCTCGAATGTGAGTCCTGGTGTGGCACTGCAGACTAATGTGCTAGACTGCAAAGTTGCTTAGAACCACAAGGTCAGTGGTTCAAGTTCATCAGCTGCTCCTTGGAAACCCTATATAGGCTCTCTATGTGTCTGAACTGACTCAATGGCACTTAACAACAACAACAACATGATGACTGGAGTCCTGGTGTGGTGCTGCAGGATAATGCGCTGGACTACAAGGTCAGTTTGAGGCTCAAGGTTGGCAGTTCAAACCCACCAGCCACTCCTTGGAAACCCTATACAGAGTCTCTATGGGTTGGAACTGACTTGACGGCACTTTAAAATAACATTATAGATGAAAGAGCCATGGTGGTACTGTGGGTTACGCATTTGGCTGCTAACCGAAAATTTAGCAGTTCAAAACCACCAGCTGCTCTGAGGGAGAAAGATGAGACTGTCTGGTCTCGTAAATATTTACAGTCTCAGAAACCCTATGAAGCAGTTCTACTCTATCCTATTGGGTTGCTTGGAGACAGAATTGACTTGAGGCAGCGGGTAAAAAAGTGAGGGGTAGGAGATCTAGTTACTTGTCCAAGGGTACACAGCTGGTCATTGGATCCAAACCCAGCCTGGATCCACTTCAGTGTCCTGACCTCCAGCCAAAATGAAAGTGCCTGAGCTTGGCATTCAAGGTCTCCCAACTCCAACTCTGCCCTGGCCAAACAACAAGTGACATTCACTCTCGTGCTTCCCACACCAGGGCCTTTGCAGAGCTGGTCCTCTGCCAGGATGGCCATCTTGTTCACCCTGATGGGGGTGCTTGAGTCCCATTACGGCACTGATTGCTCTATGGCCCCCTGCAAGCTCATGGATTATAGGGTTGAACATAATATATATATTTTAAACCCAGCTGCTGTTGAGTTGATTCTGACTTGTAGTAACCGCATGTGTGTCCGAGTAGAACTGTGCTCCACAGATTGCCAGGCCTTTCTTCCAAGGCACCTCTGGGTGGAATTGAACCTGCACCCTTTAGCAGCCAAGCATGTTAACCAGTTGCACCAATTATTAAACAACAAAAACATTACCACTGAGTGGATTCTAAATCCCAGAAACCCTGCAGAATAGCACACAATGGTCTGCAGTAAGCACTTGCGAAATAGCAAAAATCAGTATCAGAGCATCCATAAAGTCTTGTCAGCCTTCCACCAATCCCCACTTGTCGTCATCGCACACCCTGTCCTGTCTTTGGGCACAGGAAGGGGGTTTGTCCTGATCACTTCCCAGACCATCCTTCTTGGCCTCAGGACAGTTGAGGTGTGGGACCAGATGCCTTTGCTGGGGGGAAGGAAGGCTGTCCTGTGCACTGTATCATCCCTGGTTTTGTGCACTAGATGCCAGTAATACCACCACCCTCAGTATGACAAAAAAAAAAAACAACCTGTGCCCAGCTGTTGCCACATGCTCCCTGGGGGGCAGAATTAGCTCTCTTGCAAACCACTGGTTTAGACTATTGAGGGCAGGGAGTGAGTGTCCACACCTCTGCCCTCTCCGATCCAGTGGGTGAGTGGGTGTTGAATCTAGTGGCAGTGGGTCTCCAGAAAGTTCTAGAGAGATGGGAAGAGTTCTGGGGTCAGAACTAGAAAGAGCAGGAGCCTGGAGGAAGATCACAGCGCCAGGCCATCCTGGATCCTTCCCAGTGGCCATTGTTTAGGACAGTTCAACCTTTTCCAGCAGGACAGTGGCCTGACTGGGCCCTGCTTGGTGACCATTGTTACCTGAATCCAGCGGTCATTTCTGTTCTCATCCTGTGGACAGATGGTCAGCTTGCAACCGGCCTTCTCAGCCAGCTCCGCCACTGCTTTCACAAAACACGTGTTGTTCCTCACACTGCGGACAAGTCCAGGGAGAGTGGCTAAGGTGCTGAAACCACTGGGGCCACCAGAACCAGAAAGACGCCACCACCCCCTCAGACTCACCGGCACACGTACACCTCCAGTGGCGGCAGGGTACTGGGTGTCATTATCCAGGGTGCCACTCGGAACACCACAGTGTCAGTGAAGATTGGGGTCTCAGAGAAATCCTGCAGGAGGACCAGAGGGGAAAGAGCATTGGACTCAGAGTCCAGGGGCCTGGGTGCAAGTTCTAATCCCACTACCTTCATCCCTGAACAAATTGATTGCTTCTCTGAGTCTTCATTTCTGGAGAGGAACCAGCTGGGTGGTTGAGAAGTCCCAGGGATGTACCATCTTGCTGACCACCCCCTTGCCCACCCACCCCATACCTCATTGGAGTTGTCCAGCAGGGTGACATGGAAGGAGATGAGCCCAGAGAAGCCAGAATCAGGGAAGCTGAGACCTTCCACTAAGAAGCGTTCCTCGTCCTCATGGAAGTGGGGCACCACATATGACACTTTGTCCTGTCCCAGCACGTGGTGGTAGTTTTCACATTCGTCCTCAGGACCTAGAAGTTGGATGGGGGAATGGCAGCTGTGATTCCTAGTGGGCCGGTAATAGACATAAGAGCTTCACTAACCAGAGAAATGCATACTGAACAGCTTCCGCCTCTCATCTCACTCCGGCAGACGTGAGAAAGGTGAATAATAGCCAGTGCTGGCGAGGATGCGGGGAGAGGACATTCTCTTCTAAGACGGCTGGTCAGAGCTACTTTGGAGAGCAGTTTGGTAGAATCTAACCCAGGGTGGCACAAGATGTCGACTACAAGCTGAAAAGTTGGCTGTTTGAACCCACCCAGAGGCATGTCAGAAGACAGGTCTAGGGATTTTCTTCCAATAGGTTTCAACCTTAAAAACCTTATGGGGGCAGTTCTACTCTGCCCACATGGGACCTTCATGAGTCAGAATTAATTCAATAACAACTAATAACAACAACAAAATCAAAAAGTAGTGTGCTTACCTCCCTAACCCAGCAGTTTCATTTCTAGGTATCTTTCTTATAGAAATATCTATGTGCACAAGCTCACAAAGTATCTGTACAAGAGAATTTGAGGGTCAGCCCGTCATTCCTCCAGCAAATATTTACTGAGCACTTGGCATACACCGTCTACACTCTGGACTTGGGGTACAGCTTGAGCAAGGTCCCTTGTTCAGGGGACTTGCATTAAAATCAAAGCCCTGCAAACAACTGTGTGTTCCTGGGGTAGATAAATTACAGCACTTCTGTGTGTGGGAATACTGTACAATTGGAGAAGAGGATGGAACAAATCAAAATAAATACACAGAGTCTGTCTTGAGCATTGTGTTCTTTTAAAGGACTATCTGGGATCAATTGACAACAGAAAACTTGAAAGATTTAGCAGGGAAATTGGGGGGCAGTGTATTTGTGTGTGACTGGGAAAAGGACAGCTTGGAAAAGGAGGGTGAGAATGGCTGGATAATTCAGTGAATGTCATCAGTACCACTGGATTGTGCACGCCAAAGTTGTAGAATTGGTGTCCCTTCTGTTACATAAATAGAAAGATGTTGTTGTTAAGTACCATGGAGTCGGTTCCAACTCATAGTGACCCTGCACAGGGTTTCCAAGGCTGTAAATCTTTACGGGAGCAGAACGCCTCATCTTTCTCCCATAGAACCGCTGGTAGTTTCAAACTGCCGACCTTCAGGTTAGCAGCCCGAATTGTAACCACTACGCTACCAGCGCTCCTTAGAAAGATGGACTGCATATATATTCTTCAGAAGAAAAGCAGATTGTAAAGCAGACTACATACATACACATGCTTGAACACACACACATTTGAGTGGAGAGAGAGAGAAAAAACAGCCCAGAAGAATACATACCAAGTGGTTAACAATGACCACATTTTGAGAGTCAAATTTGGGGAGCAAGGGTAAAGAACGCTCATTTCTGACTTCATATATTTCTATAGTGCTCTGGTTTGGTTTTGGATATGCTGTTCTTGTTGTTTAGTGCCTTCAAGTCAATTCTGATTCATAATGACCCTCTATAGGGTTTCCATGGAGCAGCTGGTGGGTTTGAACCACTGACCTTGTGGTTAGCAGTCCAGTGCTTATCCTACAGCCCCACACCAGGACTCATTTTGGGGGTATGTTGTTGTTAAGTGCCGTTGAGTCGGTTCCGACCCATAGCAACCCTGAACAGGGTTTCTGAGGCTGTAAATCTTTACTGGAACAGAAAGCCTCATCTTTCTCCCGTGGAGCAACTGCTGACCTTAAGGTTCACAGCCCGATTCATAACCATTACGCTACCAGAGCTCCTTGGTTTGGGGTATTGTTGTTAAGTGCCATCGAGTCAGTTCCGACCCATAGCGACCCTGTACAGGATTTCCGAGGGTGTAAATCTTTACGGGAGTAGAAAGCCTCATCTTTCTCCCGCGGAGCGGCTGGTAGTTTCGAACCGCTGACCTTAAGGTTCACAGCCCGATTCGTAACCATTACGCTACCAGAGCTCCTTGGTTTAGGGTATAGTGCTTTTTAAATACGATGGCTAAAGTGCAACTGGCCCAAGTCACGGTCTTTTCCATCAGCTCATGTGTATACAAAAGTTGAATAGTGTCAAAGAAAGACAGGAGAAGAAATGGTATGTTCAAATTGTGGTGTTGGTGAAGAATATTGAGAGTACTGTGGACTGCCAAAGAAGCCAACAAATCCGTCTTAGAAGAAATGCAATCAGAATGCTCCTTAGAAGCTAGTAAGGTGAGACTTTAACTTGGTGCCTTTGGCCACATTATCAGAAAAGACCAATCCCTGTTCATGTTGTTGTTAGGTGTCGTAGATTTGGTTCCAACCTTACACACAACAGAACAAAACACTACCGGTCCTGCACCGTTCTCACAATTGTTGTTTGAGCCCATGGTTGCTGCCACTGCGTCAATCTTATTAGGAGTCTTCCTCTTGTTTGCTGACCCTCCACTTTACCAAGCATGATGTCCTCCAGTGACTGATTCCTACTGGCCACACATTCAAAGGAAAGCGCAATCCCTAGAAAGCAACATCATACTTGGTAGAGGAGAGGGCCAGCAAAAATGAGGGAAACCGTCACAGAGATGGCCTGAAACAGCAGCCGATACAGTGGACTCCGATGTACCAGTGATCATGAAGATGGCAAAGGCCGGGCAGCATTTCACTCTGTGATACATGACTCAGAGCCAGTTTGATGGTGATGCTGCCGGTTAACGCGCTGGACTGCAAGGGCGGTTTGAACAGCAAGGTCGGTGGTTCAAACTCACCAGCCGCTTCTAGGAAACCCTATACAGGGGCCACTGTGAGTCAGAATCAATTCAATGGTACTTAACAACATCTGTGTTGATCGATCTTTTGAAAACTGAGCATCTTGCTACTTGTATATGTGCGCATTTTTAAAAGGTGTTTTGTGTCCTTAATTTTATGAGTTGCGGTGATGGTACTACGGTTGTTTGCTTTTGAGGGATGAGCACTAAATTATGTCAAGGGCAAACCCCATAATGTCTGGCTTTAACATACTTCAACAGAGAGGACAGGGATAGATAAGGGAAGGGAAGGAGTCCACTGATGATTATTGACTCTGGATGCTGGGCATAGGGACTTCATTCCATCACTCTCTACTTTTGTGCGTTGTAGTCCTCAAAATTTCTAAAGGTACCTAAAATAAACATTGTAAATGCTTTTATCCAATAGCATGACCTCAGGTCAGATGCTGTGCTGAGAGATCTCAGTTGATCAACCCAAAGATCCCCCATCGAACTCTTCTTCCTCTGACCCCCAAGGTGTCTCCCGTGAGCCCTATCAGAGTCTGCCCACTCCAGGCTTCCTGGCAGCGAGGGGATAGAGCATGAACTCACCACAGGCATGGAAGACGCGTGCCCGCTGGGCATCATAGCTGGAGGTGTGGAGGACAAATTTGTGGTCATCAAAGAGGGCAGCAGGTCCCTGAGTCCGTAGGACCATGATGGACATATCTTCCAGGTCTGTGAAGACAGGCAGAGGGGTGGCAAGTCAGGGGGCACGGGGTCCTGGCCACTAGTTCATCCAACCCTCTGACCTGCCCATCTCCCTCCCCGGGAAAGCAGTCATAAGACCAACTCTGCCCATGCAAAGAAAACTGGAAATTATCAAGAGCAAACCCTGAAGACATATGTAAATGTGTAACAGGTTAAGATACATCATATCGCTCTGGGTCTCCATTTCCTCATCTGCTCAGAGAAACAAGAAAAGCAGACAGGTGCACAGGTGTCACACAGGTGAGGGTTCTAGTCTAGGCTCAGAGGTCACTCACTGTGTGACTCTAAGGAAGGCCTCGCCCCTACCCCCAAGCCTCAGCTTCCCCACTTGTGAAATGGGGAACAATGAAGCCCACATCTGAAGGGTACGGAACAGCCGACAACACACCCCAGGCCTTGCCGCATTGTTCCCATGGGGCCGTCAACTGAGGCACAGATAGACTTAGAAGAATGTGAGACATCACTAAAATTCAGATCAGAGGTTCTGGGGACATGGGATTTGGCATCAGAAGAGGACGGCCTGAAGCTCTCATAGACTGGCTGTGTGACTGCGGAAGTTTCCTCTGAGCTTCAGCGCCCTCCATCTCTAAATTGGGGTGATGATACCAGGAATCCAGCTGCTATCAAGTTGACTCCTACTCATGGCAACCTTAAAGTTGGAGTCCCTGGAGGGTAACTGAGCCGTGACCTTGGACACTATAAGGGCATGGACTGCCCTACCCCCTCACCTTGTAGGCAGCGAATTTTCTGGTCAGAGTTATCCCGTTTGCCATAGCTCGGATCATCCCGGTCACAGTTCACCAGCAAGACAGCTCCATGCCCACTGGGTCCCCAGACCCATTGTCGCTGTAAATGGAAAAGCATAGCAGATGTTGGGGCTCTAGCCAGATCTGCGCCTCCCCCTCCCCAGCTCCTGACCAGCCTCCTAATCTCATCTCACGCCCTTCCAGTGAAGCACCTGTTGGCAATGGCTCCCTATTGCCCACAACATCGAGTCCAAACTGCATAGCTACCTTATATGCTGTCTAAGATGTGTCTCCAAGGACCTCTGGTAGCTTAGTGGTTACGAGTTGGGCTGCTAACCTCAAGGTCAGCAGTTCGAAACTACCAGCCGTTCCATGGGAGAAAGGTGAGGCTTTCTGCTCCTATAAAGATTTACAGCTTCAGAAACCCTGTGCATGGTCTCTATGATTCAGAATCGATTCCATGGCACATAACCACCACCACCACCACCAAGCTGTGTCTCCAGGTAAGATCTTTCCCTCTCTCAAAAGACAACTTTCTGATTATTTGACCACACATCTCATACCACATTGGTCTCTCCATTCTTCCTTCCCTGCCTTTGCTCTTGCTGTCCTCTCCACCTGGAATGGCTCAAGTACACTTCCTTCCAGCAACTCTTCCTAGCTTCCTGAGTCCACCTTGAAATCTCTCTACTGTGAGCTCCCAGTTCATGAGGTGCCACCACAATTCAGCTCAAAGTTCTTTAAAGGCGTCATGCTTGCTAAAAGCAAAACCCAAGCCTTGCCATTTATTGTTGTTAAGTGCTGTCAAGTTGGTTCTGACTCATAGTGACCCTGTCTAGGGTTTCTGAGGAGTGACTGATGGGTTTGAACTGCAGACCTTGCAGTTCAAATCAACCTTGTGGTCCAATCTCCATTACCTTACAGCACTACACCAGGACACCTCTAGATCTGGAAGTCAGTTTGCTATGGTCCATGAGCCAAATGCAGCCCTCTGATAGTTATTGCAAATAAAATTTTATTGGAACATCACACTCATCTGTTTATATATTGTCTATGACTGTTTTGCAACACAATGAAAGAGTTGAGTAGTTGTGATGGAAACCATATGGATCACAAAGCTTAAGATGTTTACTATTTGGTTTTATAAAAAAGTTGTGGACCGCTGACCTAAACTGTAAGTCTAGAAGGGCTTTCCCCCTACAAATCAAGGCCTTGGCCAGGTCTGGATACATCTGTGCATGGTAATTCTTGGTGATGGCTTTTTCTCCTGGTGAAGGAAGGCCCCTGAAGTAGGCATCAGCTGAGAGCCAAAGGATGCTCGTAAAACCCTGTTCCTTCTTAACTCAAACTGGGAGCAGCTCCAAATGTCACTCCCCATTTCTGGACCCAGCCAGAGATACCATACCTTGTCCAAAAAGTTCCTGTCTCCTCTGCCCTCACAGTTCAGGTCACAATCCAGAGAGATATCTGCAGGGAAGAGACAGAGGTAGAATCAGTCCAGGGTCCCATGACACAGGACAGACCTGTGGCCTCCACCTGATGGCCTCCATCTTGGGGCCTGCCTGGGGTGGAGCAAGTATCAGTCTCTTCCAAGAAGGCACTGCCCAGTGGTGGGTGTCTGGAGCCTCCTTCCTGGGGAAAGTGGAAAGGGCATGAAAGTAGGGTCAGATCAAAGGCCCTGGCCAAATGCTGCCTCCTCCATGCAGGCTTCCCTGACCCTTCTCTCTGCATCCCCACCCTTGCTGTCCAAGCACACCCTGCACTAAGCCTGGATCATCCTGGGCCATTTTGTACTGGATGAAGCTGTCTTTCTATTTGGGATGTGTCAGTGAGCCTGCACTTTGGAGCCACACAGGCATGGATGTGGATTTGGACTTTGCCAATGACTGTGTGACCTTGGACAAGTCACCTAGCTCCTCTGAGGATAGGCTTCATCTTTCTCCTGTGAAGTGGCTGATGGGCTCCAACTGTCGACCTTGTGATTCTCAGTCCAGTGCTTATCTTGTGGAGCCATCACGCTTCATATATATATGTAAAAACATGAGCTTTGTGTGTGTATATATATGTTGTTGTTAAATGCTATCATGTTGGTTCCAATTTATAGCAACCTCACACATATTTGCTGTTGTTAAATGCTATGGAGTTTTTATTTCCACTTAAAAATTGTTAGCCTATCTGGAATTTATTTTTTTAATATAAGGTAGGGCTCTAAGCTTGTTTTGCCCACATGTTAACTGGCATGGGGTGGGGAGAGGAGAATGCCACCAAGTCATCGGTTTTGACTTACGTTACCAGAGCTCCTTGTTGTTGTTGTTGTTATGTGCCGTGGAGTCGATTCCGACTCCTAGCAACCCTGTGCAGGGTTTCCGAGGCTGTAAATCTTTTCGGGAGCAGAAAGCCTCATCTTTCTCCAGCGGAACAGCTGGTAGTTTTAAACTGCTGACCTTGCGGTTCACAGCCCAACTCGTAACCACTACGCTACCAGAGCTCCTTAGTGACCCTATATAGGGTTTCCAAAACTGTAAATCTTTATGGGAGCAGAAAGCCTGTTCTTTCTTCTATGGAGTAACTGGTAGATTCAAACTACTGAACTTGTGGGTTAGCAACCCAATGCATAACCTACTACGCTGCCAGGGCTCCTTGTTAACTACATGGGTATGGGTCTATTACTCAAGGGTTCTCCATTGGTTGCACTGGTCTGTTTATTGAACCCTGTACCAATGTCACACTGCCTTAAGTATATTGTCCCCTGGTACAGTTAATCTCTCCCTCTTGTTCTTCGAAATCTCCTGGGTTATCCTTTCCCTTAGCGCTTCCATATGTATTTTAGGATCAGCTCTCTAAAGCCATATTGAACATACAATGTTTGATTCCTTTCCACAGCTCTTAAACCTCTGTTCGGACAGCTTTTGTTGGTTGGTTGGTTTGGGTTTGTTTGTTTGTTATTTTTACTCCTTTGTCTTTCAGTTTGGGTAATTAACTTCTACTGACATATCTTCACGCTCAATTTTCTTTCTGTGGCTGTGTTATTGGCAAACCCACCAACGGCATCATTAATTTCTGTTATCACGACTTTTATGTCTAGCACTTCCATTTGACTTGTATAGTTTTCAGTTCTCTGATGAAATCCCTCACCTGTTCATACATGTTGTCTACTTTTTCCTCAGGAGACTAACAAATTAATCACAGCTATTTTACATTACCAGTCTGTTAATTCCAACATCTAAGACATCTCAAATGGAATTTATGTATCAACTTGTGGAGAACTAGTAAAAACAAAAAATAATTCAGTTGAAAAAATGGTGGGGGTGGTGGTTATGTGCCGTGGAGTCGGAACCGACTTATAGTGACCCTGTACAGGGTTTCTGAAGGTGTAAATCTTTACGGGAGCAGAAAGCCTCAAGTTTCTTCCATGGAACAGCTGGTAGTTTCGAACTGCTGACCTTGCAGTCCGCAGCCCGATTCGTAACCACTACGCTATAAGGTTTGTGCATATGTTGTTGTCAGGTGCCTTTGAGTCATTGCTAACTAATAATGACCCTTTATACACAGAATGCAGCACTGCCCAGTCCTGCGCCATCCTCACGATTGTATGGTTGAGCCTATGGAAGCTGCCATTGTGTCGATCCATCTCTTGGGGATCTTCTTCTTTTTCACTGACCCTCCCTTCAGGGACTGAGTGATCCCTTCTGAGAAAATGTCCAAAGTGTAAGAGATGAAGTCTCCCCATCTTCACATCTAAGGAATATTAAGGTTGGACTTCTTCCAAGACAGATCTGTTTAGTCTTCTTGCAGTTCCATGGTCCTTTTAATATACTTTGCCAAAACAATAACTCAAATATATTGATTCTTATTCAGCCTTCCTTATCCATTGACCAACTAGCACATGCATACGAGGCTATTGAAAATACCTTTGGCTATTGAAAATACTTAAGGTGTGCTTTGGTCAGGCACACCTTAATGCTCTAACTGACATCTTTGCTCTTTAACACTGTAAAAAGGGCTTTTGCAGCAGATTTGATTTCTTGACTGCTGCTTCCATGAGTGTTGGTTATCCATAGTTTGCTATAAACCACAGAGTTGAGAGTCTTTGTATAGTCAATAAAGTTCAAGTAACCATCTTTCTAGTATTCTCTCCTTTCCACCAAGATCCAATTGATGTCAGCCATGGTATCTCTTGTTTCATATCCTCTTCTGGATCCAGCTTGAATTTTTGGCAATTCCCTGTTGATGTACTGTTGCAACAGTTTTTGAATTATCTTCAATATAGGGTTTCCTAAGAGCATCTGGTGAGTTTGAACTGCTGACCTTGTGGCTCAAACCGACCTTGCAGTCTAATGCATTAACACACAGTGACACACCAGGACTTCATTTTGCACATGTTGTTGTTGTTAGGTGCCATCGAGTTGGTACCAACTCATAGCAACCCTATGCACAGAACAAAACACTGCTCAATCTTGGGCCAACCTCACAATTGTTGCCACGCTTGAGCCCATTAATGCTGCCACTTTGACAATCCATCTTGCTGGGGGTCTTCCTCTTTTTCCCTGACCCTCCACCTTACCAAACATGATATCCCTCTCCAGTTACTGGTCCCTCCTGACAACATGTCCGAAGTATGAGAGATGAAGTCTGGCCATCCTGGCCTCCAAGGAGCATTCTGGTTATACTTCTTCCAACACGGATTTGTTGGTTCTTTTGGCAGTCCATGGTACTTTCAATATTCTACTCCAAAACCATAATTCAAATATATCAATTCTTCTACTATCTTCCTTATTCACTGTCCAGCTTTTGCATACATATGAGGCTATTGAAAATACCATGGCTTGGGTCAGACACATCTTAGTTCTCAAGCTGACATCTTTGCTCTTCAACACTTTAAAAAGGTCTTGTGCAGTAGATTTGCCTAATGCAATACGTCATTTGATTTCTTGGTTGTTGCTTCCATGAGTGTTGATAGTTGATCCAAGAAAAATGAAGTCCTTGACAACTTCAATATTTTCTCCATTGGTAAGAATGTTGTTTATTAGTCAGGTGGTGAGGATTTTTGTTTTCTTTACATTGAGATGTAATCCATACCAAAGGCTATGGTCTTTGATCTTCATCAGTAAGTATTTTAAGTTGTCTTCACTTTCAGCAAGCAAGGTTGTATCATCTGCATATTGTAGGTTGTTAATGAGTCTTCCTACAATCCTGATGCCACGTTTTTCTTCATAGAACCTAGCTTCTCGGATTATTTGCTCAGCACACAGGTTGAACAAGTATGGTGAAAGAATACAACCCTATTGCACACCTTTCCTAATTTTAAACCATTCAGTTGTTCTGTTTGAACAACTGCCTCTTGGTCTATGTACAGGTTCCTGATGGTAGAATTTTTAAGTTGGTAGAATTCTTAAATTTCATCCTCACTGGCTTTAGTGGTTGGTGTGTAAATTTGAATAGTAGTGGTATTAACTGTTCTTCCTTGTAGGTGTGTGGATATTATCCTACCACAGACAACATTGTACTTCAAGATAGATCTTAAAATGCTCTTTTTGATGATGAATGCAACACCATTCCTTTTCAGTCTGTCGTTCCCAACATAGTAAACCTTGTAATTGTTTGATTCAAAATGGCCAATACTAGTCTATTTCAGTTCACTAATGTCTAGGATATTGGTCTTTATGTGTGTTGTTTCATTTCTGATGACTACTTCTAACTTTCCTAGATTCATACTTCATACATATCATGATCCAATTATTAATGGATGTTTGCATTTATTTCTTTTATTTTAAGTTGTGCCCCTACAGCAAATTACTGTCCTGAAAACTTTGCTCCATTCACTTCAGTATGGCCAATTCTATTTTGAGGAGCAATTCTCCACTAGTTGTATTTTGAGTGCTTTCCAGCCTGAAGGGCTCATTTTCTGGCAATTTATCTGATACTGTTTTGTTGCTATTCATGATGTTTTCATTGGCTAGCCTTTTAGAAGTGGTCTGCCTCTCCTTCTTCCTAATCTGTCTCAGTCTGGAAGCTCCACTGACACCTATCCACCATGGGTGACCCTGCTGGTGTTTAAAATAACGCTGGCATAACTTCTAAAATCACAGCATCACACAAGCCACAAGCTACCACAGCAAGACCAACTGACAGACAATATAGTGTGATTGTATTGACTTGATACTTTCAACACTAATGACTGAAAACCTAAATAGATGCATGATGACATCAAGTACATCATCCATTCAAAAAGCAAAAGGTCATTGAAAAGACAGGAAAGAAAGAAAAGACCAAAACGGATGTCAGAAGAGACTATGAGAGGAACAGAAAATTTCAAAGGGTAGCTTAAGGAGACAAAGTCAAGTATTATATTGAAATGTGTGAAGACTTAGAGTTAGAAACCCAAAAGGGAAGACCATGCTCAGCCTTTCTCAAGCTGAAAGACCTGAAGAGAAAATCCAAGCCTTGACTTGCGGTACTAAAGGATTCTATGGGCAAAATCCACCAATCATTGATCCGTTTATTGTATTATTGTGGCTTCTGTGTTTGAATTATGCAAATATGCTGTGCAGGACCTCTCTAAAGTGTTCAAGAGCAGTATCGATTTGAGGACTAACGTGTGTCTAACCAAAGCCATGGCATTTTCAGTAGCCTCATATGCATGTGAAAGTTGGACAATGAATAAGAAGACTGTAGTAGAATTGATGCATTTGAGTTATGGTGTTGGAGAAGAATATTGAAAGTATCATGGACTACCAGAAGAACAAAGAAATCTGTGTTGGGAGAAGTACAGCCAGAACGTTCCTTAGAAGCCAGGATCATGAGATTTCATCTCTTATGCTTCAGACGTATTCTCAGGAGGGACCAATCCCTGGAGAGGACAATATGCTTGCTAACGTGGAAAGTCAGTGCTAAAGAGGAAGGTCCTCCACCGTGATGGAGTGGCACAATGGCAGCAGCACCGGGCTCAAGTGTGACAATAATTGTGAGTATGATGCAAGACCTGGTAGCATTTCATTCTGTTTGCTATGAGGTGGAGCTGACTTGATGGCATATAACAACAATGACATCATGGGTAAAATGTTGAATGATACAAAAGCATCAAAAAACGATGGAAGGAATACACAGAGTCTGTACCAAAAAGAAACAGTCAATGTTCAACTATTTCAAGAGGTAGCACATGATCAAGAAAGAGTCAATGGTATTGAAGGAAGAGGTCCAAGATGCACTGAAGGCATTGGCAGAGAACAAGGCTCCAGGAAATGATGGAATACAAACTGAAATCTAACAAACTGAGGCAGCACTGAAAGTAGTCAGTCATCTATGCCAAGAAATTTTGAAGACAATTACCTGGCCAACGGATTGGAAGAGATTCAATGTTTGTGCCCATTCCAAAGTGAGGTGATCCAATGGAATGTGGAAATCATCAGAAAATGTCATTAATAACATACACAAGTAAAATTTTGCTAAACATCATTTATAAATGGCTGCAACAGTACATTGACATGGAGCTGACAGAGGTTCAAGACAGAAGAGGACATGGAACAAGGGATAGCATTGCTGACATCAGATGGATCTTGGCTGAAAGAAGAGAATGCCAGAAAGATGTCTACTTGTGCTTTATTTATTATGCACAGGCTTATAACTTTGTGGTTTATTTTTTTTAAAAAAAAAAAACATGGATAATGTTGCAGAGAATGCATATTCCAGAACACTTTCTTGTGCTCAAGAGGAACGTGTATACAAACCAAGAAGTAGTTGTTCAAACAGAACAAGGGATAGTGAAAGGTTTAAAATCAGGAAAGGTGTGTTCCAGGGTTGTAAACTGTTACCACACTATTGAATTTGTATGCTGAGCAAATAATCCAAGAAATTGGCATCAGAATTGAAGGAAGACTCATCAACAACTTGCAATATGCAGATGACTCAACCTTGCTTGCTGGAAGCAATGAGGACTTGGAATACTTACTGATGAAGATCGAAGACTAGAGCATTCAGTATGGATTGCACCTTAGTGTAAAGGATACAAAAATCTTCACAACTTGACCAATACATAATATCATGATAAATGAAGAAAAGACTGAAATTATCAAATACTTCATTTTCTTGGATCCACAATTAACACTCATGGAAGCAGCAGTCAAGAAACCAAACGACACATTTGCAGTAGGTAAATCTGCAGCAAAAAGACCTCTTTAAAATGTCGAACAGCAAAGATGTCAGTTTGAGGACTAAGGTGCCCCTGAACAGAGCCATGGTATTTTCAATAGCCTCATATGTTTGTGAAAGTTGAACAATGAATTAATGCAATCAAATATGGTGCTTGTAAAAAATATTGAAAGGACCATGGACTGGCAGACGAACAAATAAATCTATTTTCTGGTCTCTCATTCTTTGCATGTATTATCAGGAGGGACCAGTCCCTGGAGAAAAACATCATGCTTGGTAAAGTGGAGGGTCAGTGAGACAGAGGAAGACCCCCAACAAGATGGACTGTCACAGTGCCCACAACTAGTGGTTTAAACATAGTAACAATTGTGAGGTTGGCATGGGCCTGGCAGTGTGGCATTTTGTTGGGTGTAGAGTTGCTATCAGTTGGAATTGACTCAATGACACCTAACAATTGTCTTTCATAAACAGTTGGGATAGATAGGTGTGTATGTGGATACTAGCCTAAACGCAGCACATCTCTGGAAGGATACTGGATTTGGGGAACTGGAATTTTTGCATTGGAGAGAGAAAGGAGACTTACTTTTCAATGTATACACTTGTGTGCTGTTTGAATTTTTTAAACATGCACTTTTCACTTTCACTTTAAAAATGAAAGTAGTTGATATTTGTATAAAAATGTCATTCCCAGGATGACTTGAAGAGATGGAATGGCTGGGGACTAGGGATCCAGAGAGGGAAAGGGGCTGTGTGCTGAGGACCATGAGGGGAGGGTGGGCGGGATTGCAGGGTATGCCCTTTGGTGGGGTGATGATGCATGGACCGGATGGTAACTATGGCAATGAGACTGAGACGATGTATGATGGAATGAATGTAAAACTAATGTTCCCCCATGTAGACTATCACACAATACACAATAAAACATTAAAAAAAAAAAAAAGTCATTCCCAACCACCCTCACCCCTAGCCACTGGCCAGAGCCCTTCTGGCCACACCCTCAGCATGGCCCCAAACTTACCGATGCACGTGAGGTAGAGCACCGCGTAGGCCAGGGGCAAGGGCTTATGGCTGGAATGATAGGAAATCTGAACCTATGGAGAGATGATCCCAGGTTCATGCAGGTTGAAGCCCAGAACCCGCATCCCCAAAGACTGTGCACAAAGATCAAGGTGACCAACCCAGCTCTCCTTTAACATTCTCTGTGCCCCTTGCCTTTCCCTGCCTCGTGGGCCCACCTGTGAAATGGGAGCTTTTTGTGAGCGAGTCTGTGAAGACTTGGGTTCCAGCATTACCTATGATCTGCTAAGCTCCTATTCTGCTTCGTGTCTCAGCTTCCCTATTTGTCTAAGAGGAGGTTGGACTGAGGTTGACCTTGACCAAGGTCATACATGGCTGCGCTACTTAGGTCCCCTCATTTGCAAAATGGGAATTGTTTTTTTACAATTCCCTACCTCACACGTTGGAGTCCTGGTGTGGTGTTGTGGGTTAATGCACCAGACTGCAAAGCCGTTTGAACTGCAAGGTTGGTGGTTCAAGCTCACCAGCTGCTCCTCAGAAACCCTATACAGGGTCACTATGGGTTGGAACCGACTCGATGGCACTTAACAACAACAAGCCTCAAACATTTATAATGCAGCTTAGAAATAAAATGTGAAAAGGACGTAGTCTGTAGAATGTGCCCAAGAAACATCAGCTTCATTGTTGTGTGAGGTACAGAACTCTGGAATCACATGACCTGGGCCAGATTCTGGGTCCACCAGTTCTGAAGACCCTGAGAGAACTTACTCATCCTCCTGGGGCCTCAGTTCCTCTAGCACCCATAACTGTTACAGGACAAAGATGAAGGTGGAGATGATGTCGGAGGCTGTGTCCAAGTCCCCTTTAACCACAGTCCTCCCCTTAGATGTTTCCTCCTGATATGGTCCTTCCTCTCGCTGGATCTGACACCTTCACCTCATTCAGAGGGTTCAGGGTCTTACACCGGCTACCTCACCCTTCAGTCCTGTTGGTGTTGCTGTTGTAAAGTGCCATAGCAACCCTGTATAGGGTTTCCGAGAGCAGCTGGTGGGTTTGGACTATTGACCTTGTGGTTAGCAAGGTTAGCAGTCCAGTGCTTTGTCTACACTGCCACACCCTAAATCCTGCAGTTACTGAACCCCAAGTGTCAGGCCCCTGCAATGATGCCCAGGAATGCAATTACCCAATTGCAGTCAAAAGGGCACAGGGGTGGGGAGACTCTGACCCTCCTCAATCCCACTGACTATTGGAACCAGCCATAGAGCCCCCAGTTAGGCAGGATACCCAAGTGTCACCTCCCTCAGGTTGTTTGGTCCTCTTTCCCTCCTCTGGAGACTTAGTCCTAGCACTCACCAAATCATGTGACTTTAGGTAAACCATACCCACTCTTGGTCTCTGTTTCCTTGTCTATAAAATAGATTCATTATGAATCCTGCCCCACATACCTCACAGAGGGATCAGTTCAGAGGTGAGCACAGAGGTGGGGGTCGAGGAGGGAACCTGTTCCCAGGTGTGAGGCAGGTCTTCAATGAATCCTAATTCATTAGCTGCATGGTCTCAGGCAATTACTCTAAAGCTAGGTTACTGTGAATACCTCAGACTGCTGTGAGGCTGGAGAAGGTAATGGTGGCCCAGTGTTTGGCAGCTGGTCCTAACTTAAAGCAAACCCATGCCATTGAATGGACACCCACTCAGAGCAACCCTGTAAGTCAGAGTAAAGCTGCCCCTTAGGGCTCCCAAGCTTGTAAATCTTTATAGAAGCAGACGGCCACTTCTTTCTCCCACACAGGGACTGCTGAGTCGGGCGCTAAACCACTGTATCACCAGTGTTTCTCTGGCACAGGGTCACTGCTGCCTAAAGGGTTGGTTCCCCCAAATCTCATTCCTCACACACTAAGTCCTGGTCCCTATCAGCCCTTCCTGGGCACATCATCTGCGCCAAGCTCAAAGACCACCCCAACCTTCCTACTCTTGAGATGTCCCCCTGTTCTTAGAAGGGGATCAAGAATAAGGGAGGTGAGGTTTCCCAGGGAATCGCCATCTATGAAAGGGGTCTCCCCAGGCACCAGCCTCCCTCCCTCTTTCGTCCTGCTCACCCAGTTACCCCTCAGCCTACAGATGGAGACACTGAGGTCCAACACAGCAGGACTGGGACAACTCCTCCCTTCATGAGTGGTCGTGTGAAGCAAGAGGTGGAGCAAATATTCTATCCCTCACATCAGCACTATTACAATCCCATTTTACAAATGAGGACACTGATGCTCGTGAAGGTATGTGACTTATCCAAGGACATATAGTTTGTGTCTGTAAGCTGCGGAGCCAGAGTTCACACTCTAGCCATCTGTCTTCAGGAACAGGTGCTCTCCTATGCTCCAGTAACGAGAGATTAGGCCTTCCTGAAGCTAGATCACTGCCTCCTTCTCCCTCTCCTCCCCCTCTCCCCCCACCCATCAGGTGACCAGCTCACATGACTGTCATTGAGATCATTGCTGGGGGAGTTCATTATCACGATGATCTCTGTCCCTGCACGGAAGTGCCACCGCCTGGCCTCTGCACGCTCCCGGTTCCTCTTCGTGGATGGAGAGATGTAGATGTCCACACCTGGTGTCCCATAGACCTCGAAAGTCTCTGTGCCCTCAGGTACCAACCTGGGAAGAACAGGAAGGCATGGGACGTGCTGGAGAGGAAGTTCTGTTCTAATGCTTCTGTTTTGGCTCAAGCTCTGCTTCCTCCAGGAAGCTTTCCTGACCTCACAGTGAGGTCCTGGGAGTAGCCTGGACCCCACACACATTATACATGGTCTCATAATCCATGCTCGTAAACATTTCCTTTGAGTTTTTGTACTGCCAATAAAGCAGCAAGCCCCATGGGGGTCAGGACCCAACTGTCAGCTTTTTAAAGACTCCAGTGCAGAGCTGAACACAAGAGCTCAGTGAACACCAGTAAACAGCTAGTGCTCAGAGCGTAGCTTTAGGAAGAGTGGTTCTCATCCCAAGTCCCTTGCATGCCTATTTATCAGATACTAAGCATCTTCCCTTGGGATCTTCCCTAGCGAAAAGAGTACATTTTACTGAGAGTTTGTAAATGTCAGACGTGTGCCAGACACCTTTCATTCAGTAACTCTTTCATCATTACAAGTCTGCAAGGTTAGCAATATCACCCCCATTAGACAGGGGAGAAAACGGAGGCTCAGAGAGGTCAAGTAACAAGCTTGAGGTCAAACAGCAGCAAGGGCCAGAGCCAGATTTGCACTCAGGTCTGTCTGATATGGAGCTGGTGCTTTCCCACAACACTGCAGCATTGCCTGGGAAACTGGGCTAGATTCATTCATTGCAAAAATTTTAAGTCATTATGTCACTACCCCATGGGACTGTGTCTCCCCTAATCCTGCTAGTCTGGGAGTTCTGTTCATCACCAGCCTGCCCATCCCCTGATTGTCTGTGAGGAGCCCACTGTGCACACAGGTATTGCCAAGCTGGGGCAAATATGCTCACACTCTCCCGACTGCTTCCAGAACCTTCCATCCCTCATAGGGACTGAACACTCATAGCTCAGGACAGCCAGACAAAGTTCATAGCCATGAGGTCAGGGGTCATCAAGAGAATTCCATGTAAGGTGAGGCCACCTCGAGCTGCAAGGTTTCCTGGAGGAAACAGCTCATAGGGCCCTGGTAAGTGTCAGTAGCTAATGGCTTGTTAAGCTTTTACTGTATGCCAGCCTTCTCCAAGTTCCTCTATGTGTATTATCGCATCAAATCCTCTCAATAACTCTAAGTGATTGCTGTTATTGTTAGTTGCCATTGAGTTGGAGCTGACTCAAGGCAATTCCATGATACTTGGTATTATATGTAGGCTTTTCACTAGCAACATTTTGGAAGCAGGTCTTCTTCCTGTTGCTATGTGCCGTGGAGTCGGTTCCGACTCATAGCGACCCTACACAGGGTTTCCGAGGCTGTAAATCTTTACGGGAGCAGACTGCCTCATCTTTCTCCCCTGGAACCACTGGTAGTTTCGAACTGCTGACCTTGCGGCTCGCAGCCCGATTCGTAACCACTACACTTTTCTTCCTAGTCTAATCTTAATCTGAAAGCTCTGTCCACCATGGCTGCCCTTGCTGATATGTGAAATATCAGTGGCATTAATTCAGTTCCTATTGTTGTTGTTAAGAGCTGTTGAGTCGAATCCAATTCATAGTCACCCTCTATAGAGATTTTGAGGAGAAGCTTGTGAGTTTGAACTGCCAACCTTGCAGTTCAAACTGACCTTATTGGTGTCTCCCATTTTACAGATGCGGAAACAGAAGTTAAGTAGTCTATCCAAGGTTGCTTAGCTAGTAAATGACAGAGCTGGGATCCAAACTCAGAGCATCTAGCTCCTGAGTCCACACTCTTACCCACCACCTCCCCAAGAGTAATTAGAAACACGGTACCCATAGTCACTGAGCTCTTACCATATCAGGCCTGACTAAGTCATTCTGGGCATCAACTTGTCTAATCCTCACTGCACCATGGGTAGCTGCTGCTATGTGTCGTTGAGTCAGTTCTGAATCAATACGGGAGCAAAAATCCTCTCCTTTCTCCTGGGGAGCAGCTAGTGGGTTTGAACTGCTGACCTTTTGGTTAGCAGCCCAACTTGTAATCCACTTCAGCCATTTGAAACTACCAGCTGTTCCGCGGGAGAAGGTTGAGGCTTTCTGCTCCGGTAAAGTTTTACAGCCTCAGAAACCCTGCACAGGGTCGCTATGAGTCAGAACCGACTCCACGGCATATAACAACAACAACCAAGGCAGCTTGGGAGGAGGGGATTATTACTCCAGTTCCACACAGGGAAGCTGAGGCTCAGGGTGGGCAAGTGGGTCATCCAAGTTTGTATCACTGGTCATTGCACCCAACCTCTTCCCAACACCTGCTTCCCTCACCATTCCCATTCCTCCCCCAGCAGGCTTTGGATGCTTCCCAAAACGGCTTGTCAAAAGTGCAGTCCCCATGTTACACTCCATTAGGCGGGTCCCACTGCCACACGGCTGCCTGGTGCCATCACCAAGTGAAAGAGTTCAACACAGCCGTCTTCTCTCTTCCCAAATTCAGCCAATGAAAATACAAGGCACCCTGTATTTTTATTAGGATCTGAATTTCACAGAAAATAACAAATAACCTTTTTGGTGTAAGTGATGTCCCAGGCGCTCTCGGGAACATACGTATACTAAAAATGCATTCAATGTTTATCTGAAATTTACATTTAGCCCAGAGTCCTGAATTTCATCTGGAAGGCCTACTCCCAGAGTCTGGAGTTTCTGGTGCTTCTGGCCTGTTCTGTCCTGGATGTGGGGTCAGGCCCTAACAGGGGACACAGGTGAGACAGATTAGGAGGCATGGAGACACAGACAGAGAGATGGAAAAACTCAGAGAGATGAAGAGTCAGGAAGTCAGAGAGACAGACCCAGGTTGGACAGGGCTCTCTCATGTCTCTGGGTAATCTCAGCTCCTCCTCAGCCCCACTGCTCCAAGCTCAAGCCCACAGCTCCCCAGGGAGCACATTAAGTCTTTATGAAACTGCCCCCTGTCGCCAAACTGTTCCTTTGTACCAGATGGCCAGGAGCTAGGGCTGAGCATCCCTGATCGCCCTCCTGGGCTGAAACTGGCCCCAGCCCCTGGGTTTGGGGTGTTTCCGAGCAGCTCCCCGACACCTCCAGAACCAGCCCTGTGTGAGGCACTGGGAAATCCTGACAAAGACAGAAGTGTCCCTGCCCAGGAGAGGCCCCAGGACAGTGGGCCTTATAAAAAAAATGTATAATGCCAGGGAAAGGGAAGGACTGCCTAAGCTGAGGGTTCAGGTGGTGCCAGAACCAGAGTCAAGAACAAGCTTCCAGGTTGAGCTGGGTCACACGTCAGCCAGGTGACCTTGAGTACATTACACAGCCTCTCTGGGCTTCAACATCTTCATCTATAAAGTGGGGATAATGATATTCACTTGGCCAAGGTCAGGGGCCCCAATGTCTTCATAGACAGGACAGGCTTGGAACACAACCGCCCAGAAAGGACAAGGGGTTATTAAATTAATTAGGGCATACGGCATTGGTGGGTAGAGGCAGGCTGAGAGAGATGACTGGAAGTCTGGGGAAGGTTCTAGAAGAAAGCATTTCAAGGACAAGGGGGAGACATGTGTGAGGAGAGGGAGCTTCCATCTTGGGGCCTTAGAACAAGGAGCCATCGATGGCTTTTGATCAGCAGGGGTAACACGATGGAGCAGTGGATGTCTCTTTGATGAGGTGGAAAGTCTGTGGACTCTGGAGCTGTACTGCTTCAGTTCAAATCCTAGCTCTACCACTCACTCTCTGGGTATATGACTTTGTGCAGTGACTTAGCCTTCCTCGGTCTCAGTGTCCACATCTCTCAAGTGGGGATGATGAGATCATGAAAGAAGTGAAAGTCAGAATCCTCTGAGTCCATGCCTTCATCTCACTGCTGGGGACACTAAGGCCAGGAAAGGAGACAGCCCACAATCATATGTTAGGAGAAGAGTGGGGACTATAGGCAGAACTCCAGTTGTTGGCAATTCGGTTCTGACTTGTGATGACCCCTTGCGTGTCACCAAATGCTCATGACCCTGTGAAGGAAGACCAGACAAGCAGCTGTGTGTGTGTGTGTGTGTGTGTGTATGCGTGTCTGCATCAGGTTCCTGGATTAAGCAGTCAGAGCCTCATCTAGACCAAGTTCCTCCTAGAGCTGCCAGCATTGCCATGGTCAATTTCTCTGTTGTTGTTAGGTACCATCCAGTCAACACTGATTCATAGCGGAAGGAAACTCTATCTGGTCGTGCACCAACCTCACAATCTTTGCTACATTTGAGCCCATTGCTGCTGCTACGTTGCCAGTCCATCTCGTTGATGGTCTTCCTCTTTTTCTCCAACCCTCCACTTTACCAACTATGATATTCTCTCCAGGGACTGGTCCCTCCTGATAATTTGTCCGAAGTATGAGAGACGAAGTCTGGCCACCCTGGCTTCCAAGGAACATTCTGGCTGTATTTCTTTCAACATAGGTTTGGCTCTTGTTGTTGTTAGGTGCCATCGAGTCAGTACTGACTCATAGAGACCTTATACACAGCAGTACTACACACTGCCCGATCCTGGGCCAACCTCACTACGATTGCCACGCTTGAGTCCATCGATGCTGGCACTGTGCCAATCCATCTCACTAGGGGTCTTCCTCTTTTTCACTGACCCTCCACCCTACCAAATATGATATCCATCTCCAGTGATTGTTCCCTCCTGACACTACTCCAGGCTCCTCTAAACAGGTTTCTCTGCTCTGGGAGCATGTGGCTTGGGGGTTCAGGTTCTCCCCTGCGAAAGTGGTCTTCCTACAAGAGCAAGGCTGTCTCACGCTCTCTCTAGCACCCAATCCTCCAGCCAGCCTGAGAGTCCAATCTGCTGCTCCATCCCAAGATGTGGAAGATGAGTGGTCAATAAAATATAGTAGGTGACCAGTCTTTCTGGTTTGCCAGGGCCTGAGACATTTCCTGGGATGGGGGACTTTCAGTGCTAATTTCTACTAAGTCTCAGGCAAACAGAGACCAACTTATTCCCTTGAAAGTAGTACTGGCCTCAGACCCATCTTGTTGAAAACACAGATTCCTAGAATCAGAAA